AAAATGGTAATAAATGAGACTTTATTGACGGAAAAACACAGCACGACAGGGAAAAAACGACAATGAATACAATCCGAAATCTGTAGGAACAGGTGAAGAAGATGAATAACGACAGAATGTACCGATGACAAATACATGATATTCATAACAAAATTATAATTGTTTGAGCAACCAATTCATTTGATGATTGTGTGTTTGAGATCAACTGCTATCAAATGCTGAACACGTAATGTTTGTCAAATCAAAGTTAAGAGGATTATCCACGAAAAACCGAGCATAAAACCATTGAGAAACGGAACAACAACTATGGTAGATCAAGCGGGTGGTATGCTGTTCACGATCGGTAAGACCACAATGACACGCCCCGGTGTGACGCCCGTAGACACGCACAGTACGCAATGACGCATGCCTATGCGACGTGGAACAGGACGAATCGATCGTATCGAGATCCGACGAGAGAGAGAGAGAGATCAGATCGGACAAAAACTGGCATTTCCAAGGGTAGTTAAAGTTCACGTAAATAGACAGCAGAGGGACATGGTACATTGTGCTCCATAATTGACTTTGCGTGTGTGCAACGTTTTGCAAGCCAAGGTTCAAGGTTAATCAGTCAAGCCATTAAGTGGAAAGCTTAGTGCAGGAAAAACAGAAGCAAAACTGTGTATTGACAAGTGAGCAGTGAATGTAAGAGATCAATAGGCTAACATAAACGCCAAAACGGTTCAATCGTACAAAGTATTGCTACTGACAATCAGCCCAACAGTAAGGCGTGAAACCATAGGAAGCTTTGATCGATGTGTGTGCCAAATTACATATTAAGTGATCGTTATCAAACATTTGCCGGCAATCATTGTAGGTGCATCGATTGCCTTAATTGCTATGGGGGAGGCCGAAGTGGGTTTTAGATTTTGAACTCCAGCATTGTTTTCATCGAGCTGTATCAGTTCAATTGATGATGAAGCATGTAAAATTTTTGATATATAAATATCTATACATATGTTTGAAGTATTGAGCCCCTTTTGTCCATTTCATCAATACAGAAAGGAGACAAATGTCGCGGTAGAGAGGATTGAACGAAACGTTAACATCTCGTGACATCTGTCTTCATTCTGTATTGATAACATATGTGTATATTATAGTAAGCAGTATACGAATGACTGGATACAATTGCCCTGGAAGCACACGACCGGTTTCACGGTTCTTGTCGCTAGTCAGGCATGCGTACCCGGTAGCCTCTTGTCTTTTCATTCATATACTCGTATCCAGGAAGTGAATTTTCGTCACAATAACCTCATTTGCAGCTCCGGGTAAAGTTGATGGTAAAATATTGTAAAGTATTCCATAAAGATGTTGAATTCGTGTTTGTTGCGTTTACTAGCATCTAGTCCACCGACAAAACATCGAATCGTAGTATTGATTGACTAATGGGCTGGTTCTGAAAGAGTCATTTGAACCGCTAAATTGCGAAATGAACAAGAACGATTGTACGAAGCAACCAGGCGTTGGTTATTTACTTTTATTCTCACATATGTAGATGAGTATGATCTGCGTGGGAAGTAAACATAGATAGTAGATATTAGAATTAAAATACAATAACAAAGCAACTTCAGGAATGTGAATTGTAGTTCAACGGCTAATTCGAGGGTGGACGGTACCTTAAAAACCCTGATTCCAAACACCAAAAGTGGGGACGTACGAACTGGATCCCGGCCGTGATGAATGCGTTTGATCAGGCATACTATGTACTCTAGCCGTGCGAAGCATATATAAAGGATGAGAGATTCGACCAACCGGAAACGAGTCCCCAACAGCGGCTTTTTACACACAGCTCCGTTGCCCCCCAGGTGATGCTTTGGTTAACCAAAAACTTCGGATAGCACCCATGAGAAATAATGGATGCATTTTATCGTAAAGATGCTTATAAAAGACATTTTTTATGAAAATAGTGGGGGCTTCGGTTTGACTATTTGATAAATTCGCCGTGAGCGGGAAAGCTAGAATGCACTGAACAACTGTTTCGACCTGGTTGAGTTCCATTAGCAGTACGAATTAATTTACCCGATTAGCGATCGAGCCCGGGACCTCAGTACAGATAGAACCGAAGCGCACTACATACTTAACCACCGTGCAGTTGATCAGAGCGTTTTTCATTTTACCTTTACACAATATAGCACAACGTATCTTTGTGAGCTTAATGTGGGGTTCACATCTCGTGCATCTAAGCCTATACGTTTAGGACTCGATTGAAAACATCTCGAGCCCGATTACATGTTGTATCAGAGTAATAAAGGATATAACTTGGTTATGTTGTATACTTGCGTCATACCCGTGCTGAAGCCCCGGGTTCGATCCCGAGTTGAGCCGATGGATTCGCACTGAAAGCAATCTCAATAAGCGAATTAAAATAAGCAGGCTAACAATTTTCCGTCAGTCATAACTTTGAAAAGCCCGGACAGAGAAACGGTGATGCACACCCAAATAACAGCAAAAAGAAATGTGACCAAACAGAGTAACTCGCCCTAAAC